TCTTTATCTTTTATTAAAATATATAATCACCAAGGCTATTTCTATATCTTTTATTAATTTCACATTTTTCTCTCTCTCTCATTATTATATTATATGAATACTTTAACCAATTAAGAAACACTCATTTATAAAAACACATTGGGCATTGGTCTATTCGCGCAATACTTTAACCAATTAAGAAACACTCATTTATAAAAACACATTGGGCATTGGTCTATTCGCGCAAAGCGCGTGTCAAAACTAGTATAATACATAAAAATAAAAGGAAATACTACTTAATTAAAAACATGTAATTATGTAAAATTCATAATATATTGCGGCTCGAGATCTGTAAAACTAATATAATGAATTCTATCCAGTGGCGGACCCAGAAAACATCTTCAGTGGGGGCGAAACGCATTAAAACAAAATAGATAGTTTGATAAAAAATAAAACACTTAAAACTATAGCTATAAAATAATTCGAATAAAAAATACATTAAAATATTTATAACAAAATATGAAACATAATTAATTTGATAAAATAATTCGAATAAAAAATACATTATAAACACATATCATTATTAGTATAAAAGAAAGTTATATATATATATATATATATATATATATATATATATATATATATATATATATATGTGTGTGTGTGTGTGTGTGTGTGTGTGTGTGTGTGTGTGTCACTTTGACACCTAAGTAATAAAGGGGGTAGATTTACACAAATACTAAAAATTCAAACCCTGGCCACTGCAAAGACACGCCATGTGCCTTACCACCTGATCTACTCATCTTTTGTTAATTTTTATCTATTTTATTATATTTATGCTAAAACTTGTACTATATATACATATATACATACAAAGGTTATATATGGGGTGGAGGTGGGGGTGAGGGTGGGGTGAGTGGGGGCAGCTGACCCATGCTGGGTCCGTCCTTGATTCTATCCATGTTCACTATAAAATGTATAAAATATTTAATATATTTTCAATTTGGTATGAAAAGTAGACAAGTAAAATTAAATGGACTCACTAATCAAATCGATCTGAAGCGTTAATAGCTATTAATAAGGGTAAATGGTCCTAAAATTAAAAACAAGTGGTTTATAAATAAGGGAGTGAATATTTATTTTAGAACGAACTAAACAAAATTATAAGACAAATAAGGTGAGACAAACAAAATAGTAATATTCGCAATATTTTTTATTTTTATTTTCATATAGAATAATACCTAAGCTAGCTAGCTAAGCTATAGCGCAGCCTATATGACATCCAAATTACAAAGCTAACAAGGTTGATGGTTTAATACACAAACAATGTTCATGCCAACATGGCCAACAAGCACACTATTATATAAAAGAACTTTTTTTATTAAAAAAAAAAGTTGTGTGTATGATTTATAATCTGACAAAAATTTTGTGTAAAACATTACAATTTAAGGATTTTAATATTAAAAAAATACTATCTTCCAGCTAAAACTTTAAGATTCATCTTCATTTTAAGATTTAAAATACAAATGGATGAAGACCCCAAAAAACTAGAGAAATCTAACACCAAGCTATCCCGATCTATCTATAGATGTATTAAATCGAATAATACACCTAATTTTAATATTGTTAAACAACACTTTTCCACTTCTTTAATTAATTACCTGCGAGCGCATATATATATATATATATATATATATATATATATATATATATATATATATATATATATATATATGTAAACAAAGAAAATTGAATATATTCAATATTCAAAATTTTGGGTTACATATTAAGTATCAATGCGGTGTGGGTACATGTCTCTGGATATCCTCTGATTCTTCAATTGATGCCTTGAACACTCCACCATTGAAGGGCCTCCGGGTTTCAAGTGGCTTGATCTTCAAAGAAGGGCTTGTATATATAGCTTGTTCTTCTTGAAGGGCCTCCGGGTTCAAATGGCTTGATCTTCAATGGAGGTTTGGATCAATAGGCATAGGCATGATCATTATGGAGGAGAGACTTCTACTTTCAGTATCACATTTTTATTGTGATCCTGAATAATATTTTTCTAGATGTTTACATCACTTTTCCTAGGATGTGTGTCATTACGTAGAAATGAAAGGCTCTATTTATAGTTGTAGGATAGAGAGTTTTGATAAGCTCAAACTCTTTTGATATTATCTAATTAACAAATTAGATAATATCAATATTATCCAAAATATTTCAAATATATTCAAATATACTAATATTGATAAATAATCAATATTTATCAAAATTTAAGTGTCTACAATATATATATATATATATATATATATATATATATATATATATATATATATATATATATATATATAATCGCACTCAGGTGCGAATGCTTCGCCGAGACGCGAAATAGGAATGGATTCTGTCCGTCCACGTGTCCAGATCTAATGGATGAGAAACACTGATTTTTAAAAAAAACGCGGTGGCATTTTCGTAAATAATTGAACATCGAAGTGCAAGTAAAATGTATTACAAGTGCATGTAAAATGTATTATCGGTGCAAGTAAAAATTTACACTGAGCATCAATACTTAGTTGCATCTATAGTTCTAAGTAGTTGCACCTATAGTTCTAAGTAGTTGCACACATAGTTATAAGTAGTTGCACCTAGGTGTATGAATGTTTGCGAGTGGTTTTCAGGGGTATTACTACGCGCTGAACTCAGATCAATGAATGTTAACAAGGCAAAATTACATGCACTTATAGGTGAAAGTAGGTGCACCTATAGTTATAAGTAGTTGCACCTATAGTTATAAATAGTTGCACATATAGTTATAAGCACACCCAGGTGCATGAATGTTTGCGGAAAGTGAATGCTAACAAGGCAAAATTACATGCACTTATAGGTGAAAGTAAGTGCACTTGTAAGTGATTTTACTTGCACTTCGATGTTCAATTATTTACGAAAATGCCACCGCGTTTTTTTTAAGTTATTAGATCTGGACACGTGTCGCGCGCTGATTCGTTCGCATTTCCCTCCTGAGCACTTATTCGCACCTGAGTGCATCCCTATATATATATATATATATATATATATATATATATATATATATATATATATATATATATATATATATATATATATATATATATATATATATATATATATATATATAAGAGCGCTCATATGTGGTCATGTCATTAGGTGTGACGGTGTGGTCGTATCTGTGTCGTTGAATCAGTTTAATCTAACGGCAGTGGCAATTCTGAGGATTTTCGCGCGTTTTGGTAAGTGGGGATGTTATGGTAATTACAGTGACCATTTATAGCGGTCGGATTCCAGAATACACCAACAGTGTTGACAACATGCACCAATAGTGTAATAAAACACACCACAGTGAAACACACCAATGGTGTATTCCCGTGATATGGTAATTACAATGGCCATTTATAGTGGTCGGGTTTCAGAATACACCAACAGTGTTGACAACATGCACCAATAGAGTAATAAAACACACAACAATGTGATTTCCCTATTTCGGTGCTTTATGACAAGTTTACCCTTGCAGTTCGCTGGGTAGGAGAATGTGCGCGAAAATACTGAAAGAATTTTGATTAATATGATTCATTGGATCTATCTAATCTAATGGCCTATAATTGACCATATGACAACACCTAACAACATGGCCACATGTGATCACCCCTATATATATATATATATATATATATATATATATATATATATATATATATATAGAGAGAGAGAGAGAGAGAGAGAGAGAGAGAGAGGTTTAGGATCAGGTGCACATGACACTTCTCGTGCGAAAATGCGGTTGGTGCACTTGAAGGTAAAAAAATTGCATTCAAAGGCAAATAGACGTGCAATTGATGCAATTTATGGTACCAAAAAGGGGGGTTAATTACCCATACAAATCGTTTGTAAATCTCACAAATTTCATTAGAAATTTAGTTATATGTTATTGAAAAGAATGCACAAGATATAACAAATACTGCCCAGAAGTTGTGCACTTGAAGGCATAAAATTGTGCACTTGAAGACAAAAAATCTGCACCGAAGGAAAAAAAGGGTTCACTTGAATGCTAAGTTTTTTTTTAAAAAAAAAAAATTACACAATAGTAAGACACACATACACTTGTCGGCATAAATTAAGCACTTGTAAGCATAAAGAGGATCACTAGAATGCAAGGGAGAGAAGAAAAAAAAAAAAAAAAAAGACACTAAAAGGGAAAATTCGAAGGAAATTAACTATGCACTCTTAGAAAGGAAAACATGCACGTGAAGGCCAAAGATTTGCACTCAAATGCACAAAGATGTGCACTCAAAAGGAGAAAGTAAGTACTATAATAAAAGCGATGCACTCAAAGAAGGAAAAATGTGCACTCGAAAACAAAACACAAGCTGACTTATTTGCTCAAAATTACAAGAATTTCACTACGCGTTTTTTAATTATCTTCAATCTGGGTTGTTGATTTGGACTACATCTATGCTTGAGACTTAACCTTATTTTTTACCTAAAGACCTCCTGCGCATGTGATCCGCATCATATATATATATATATATATATATATATATATATATATATATATATATATATATATATATATATATATATATATATATATATATATATATATATATATATATATATATATATATATATAAAAGCTTAGGATCCCATGAGAACACGTCCTTGGAGAAAACTAAGAATCAATCTCAGTCTTAGATATGTAAAAATTGGACGGATCAGATAAATTTTTTTTTTTAAAATGTGGTGCCGTTTTCTAATTATTGCCAACTTTAAAAAACATGATGAAATTATTGTAATTATCGTCAATTTTATCGTGTAATTTTTAACATTATATTATGCACTTTTTAACAACCTAAAGTGAATTTCTATATAACTTTTAAAAGTATCAACGAAAAAATTAAATTTTAAACCTAAATAGTAAATATTAAAACCTAAGTAGTAAAAAGTGAGCCCTTCAACTAAATATAACAAAAAGAACTAAGTCGTAAACTCTAAAATTTAAACCTTAAGCGCATTGCACTTTTACATTTTGAAAAATGTAATATTTAATGCTAAACGTGCACTTTTAATACAAACTTTTAAGAAACAGGATAATAAATACTTGTGTAATATAAGTATTTAGGTGGAAATCAAAACCATTCAACAAAGGATAACAATAGACATTTCAAACAAGGGCATTTTTGTTTGTCATTTTGTTTTCACGCCAATTGATTGCACTAAAATATTTGCACAATGATCACGTTCACAAAATGGGAAAGAATTAATGAAATTAAAATACAAACACAATTCATCACTGCTTGAGATTGGGAATAGTAATACGAAAGTGGAGAGAAGAAGTTTGCAGTCACCTCGATGAAAGAGGGAGGAAACTCCAGTGCATTAAATAGCTTGGAAACTAAATTAGATATTAGCGTTTGATGTAGAATTTGTCATTAATGAATTCAGAAGTAAATATTATAAAATAAGTGAAGGGTGACTTGGTCAAATTAGAACATATATAGTTTATTAATTTATTTAAGAATATATAGCTACCATATACTATATGAGTGTGACTTTTGTTGAATTTGTCTATGCAAAGTTAGCCTACTGTACTGTTAGAGTTACCAAATGATGGATATAAAATGTCTTTTTTTTTTTTTTTTTTCTTGATTTGCAAGCTATTACACAATAATGGAGTTTATCTAATGCACACTCTTAAATAGTAGTTGTTGATTTATTCCCTCGTCAAGAAAAAAAATTGCCTTTTTAAAATATATCGGTTGAGTATGAAGTGACAATTTTGGTCAATATTTTACAAAGTGACAATCTTTAATGGTTTAGAACTATAATTTACGTTTGTATTCCAATATTAACTAAAAGACTAACGTATGTAATACAAATGTGATGGACTTTAATGGTCTGGAACCAAAACCATGGACTTTAATGGTCTCTAAGGAACCAAAACCTCCACTTTATAATTTTTTTTTTTTTTAAAAAAAAGGTTAATAATGCTTATGTCTATAATTGAAGTACTGAAATTACTAATTCATATATATATAAATACAAAAAAAAAAAAAAACAAAACAAAAAAAAAAAAAAACAAAAAGTGCTATTTTTCCAATATCTTTAAAAATAAATTTATTTCTTGTGAATTTCATATAGATTTAACCTTACCCAACAAAATATTTTCATTTATATAATATAAATATCAATCAATATAACTTAATAGACCGGTACGTGAACTGACTGTGGTTGAAAACTTCCATCACCATAATAAATGCCCCCTCCAAAAAATAATAATAATAAAGAAGGATTTTCTAGAAATTTCCAAAAATATATACATCCAAGTTGGCGCTCACCATTGAACAGGAGGTCCTACTCTAACAGTGGAATTTATATATCCAGTCTTCCTGGAAGACTTTCAAATTAAAACCTCACAAGACATCCAAGTTTCCATGACTTTTTTTGGTTCCTTTTATTGGTTATCTGTATCTAGACGTATCAAAATCCATCGTTTTCAGCTGGCCATCAGTCAATTTTGTTGTGTTTTGTTTTCTGGTTGTGTTTGTTATCTATTTATTTGGGGGGTTTAAGTGAATAAATCATGGTAAAAGAATAGGTTAACTTGGATAAACTTAATTATGGCCACTAACGTTAAATTGGTTCACATGAATCCTATGGTGTAGCCACCTATCCAACGTAAGATCGAGAATGTTTTATTAGGTATACAAGTCGAGGTAAGACACGTAACTTTTTTCTTTTTTTTTTTTTTTTTTTTTTTTTTTTTTTTTTGTGATTCTTGAAAATTCGTGTAATATCATGCATACTATTTTGTGATTTTACATTAAACTTCAATTATTAAGCAAGTGTCATCTTAAATCAATCATATCAACAATGTACGATTTGATTTCATCATGATATTATTGTCTAATGTTACTAAAAGTCTAAAACACATAATTAAACTCAAATTCATGTGTAACACTTGTATCTTGTGATATCTCATTATACTATATAGCACCAATGGCACTATTATTTGCATTCAATGTGTATTAGACTTCAAATCAAATTTCATGTGAATTGAGTTAAGCTATCATCACTTTGATGATTCAAACTAGACTACTGTGAACACTTTCTTTTATTTCTCTTCGTAGAATAGAAAAGCGCCCACCACGTCAGCACACATAATACAACAATCACAGTTTAATCATGTGAAGAAAAGTCAACATTTCTATAAACAGCCCAAAAAAAAATTAAAAAAATCTTGTGATTGAATAACAAAAAGTTATGGTTTTATCCCTCAGGTGTAGATAAGATGATGTAAATTTCTTACTACTTTATCGAATGGCTTGAGTTTGAGCCCTAAAAATGTAACTATTGGAAAAACGTTTTAAAATCCTTCAAATATTTACAATTAATTGTTTTGGTCCACTGTCAAAAGTTGTAAAACTTATCCTTACTTTGCATAACAGAAAACACTATAAATTTTAAATTCACCTTAGATGGAAAAAAATATCAAAAATAAAAATTTAGCTATGCAGTAAAGGGAAATCAAATTAAAGATTTTAAGTCGTGCGTGCGAAGGTGATAATTGAGGAGATTACTCTGGCTGGGCATCCAATGTCGTTGGATGAACAAAACCTCTATGTCTTTCGTGGTATTCGGCCAGAGTTTCGTGCTATAGCGTCATTGCCGGTTAATTCAGGGTCTCCGGCTGATATTGATGAGTTGTATGCTTTTTTGTTGGCTCAGCAATTCATTGATTCTTATGATTCTTGTCGTCTAAGGGTTCGTATGGTGATGGTGGACGACGGACTGGTGTACCTTATGCTATGGTGGATCAGCGTCATGACCGCTCAAATGATGGTGGTTGAACATGTGATAGATGGAGGACGCTGGCGTGGTGGTCGTGGAGCTCATCCTGCTAGACGTGGTGAGCGAGGGGGCGTGGTAGTGGATATCCTCTCTGCCATATTTGTCGCAACCGTGGTCACATTGTAGTTACCTATTATCGATGATATTCTAATTGCTCGGCCCGCAATCTCACCTTGCCTTTTTTGGTGATAGTTCACTAGTGGAGCATGGCAGTAATCTCTTGTCGCATAGGTGGTTTCCTAACACTGGAGCCACGAATCATGTTACCCCTGACTTGAGTGTATTGTCGGCGTATGAGGGGTATCACGGTGATGATACGTTGCGTGTTGGCAATGGTGCAGGTTTGACTATTTCCCATGTTGGTCATGCTTCGATTCCTACGTCCTATAGGTTTTTAAGGATGTCTGATGTTTTGCATATTCCCGCTCTCTCTACATCATTATTATTTGTTCAACACTTTGCTTCTGATAATAATGTCTTTTTTGAATTTCACCCTTCATTTTTTGTTGTGAAGGATCTCGTCACCAGGGATGTACAACTTAGAGGTCCTAGTTCGGGAATTCTCTATCCGCTACTTGTTTCTCCCCGTCCTGCTGCGTTTCTTGGCATAATCGTTTAGGTCACTTGTACTTTCGTGTTTTGAGTCGAGTCTTACAATCTTATTCGGTTAGCAATAAAAATGTTAGCTCGTCTTCGTTGTGTTATGCTTGTCAGTTATGCAAATCTTCTCATTCTACTTTATCTCGCGTAGAGTCATCTAGTGCTAATGCACTTGATCTTATTTACACTTATATTTGGGGCCATACGCCTGTTTTTTGTCTGATGGATATCGGTACTTTGTTCTTTTTGTAGATCATCATACGCGTTATACTTGGTTTTTTCCTTTGCGTTTGAAATCTGATATTTATAAGGTTTTTGATTAGTTTCGTGTTATGGTTGAACATTTATTTTCTCGCTCCATTAAGTCTATTCAATCTAATTTAGGAGGAAAGTATCGTAAATTGCACTTTGTGTTCTTGTCTCTTGGTATTGTACATCGTAAGTTTTGTACGTATATACATGAGCAAAATGACTGTGTGAAACGTTGTATGTCATCGTCATGTTGTTGAGATTGGTCGTGCACTGTTGGCTCATGGCAATACTCCCTCCAGGTATTGGGATTTTGCTTTTTGAGAAGTCAGTTTTTCTCATTAATTATTTACCATCGTTGGAGAGTCATTTTCCAAATTATATTGTTTCGTTCTCCAACTTCATATTCTTTCCTTCGTGGTTTCAAGTGTTTGTGTGTTTCCATGCTTTCGCCCTTATAATAAACATAAGATGAATTTTCGGTCTGCTCTTTGTGTCTTTCTAGTTTATCATGAGTTTTTCTGTGGTTATCGTTGCATGGATCTTAACACTGGAAAAATATTCATTTGTTATCATGTGCGTTTTGATGAGGCTGTCTATTCATTTGTAGAGTCTTCTTCTATACAGGTTCCACGTGGTAATGTTGAAGTGGGACCTTGGGGTGTTGGTCCCTTAGTGTCATCTTATAGTGGCTATAGTTGGTTCTTCGTATCGTACCTGTTATACTTAGGATGTTCGTTTTCTAGAGTGGCGTGAGGCGATGGATCATGAGTTTAATGCATTATTACATAATAACACCTGGTGGTTGGTTCGTGCAAAGTCTGGCATGAATATCATTGGCTACAAGTAGGTTTTTCATTCCAAGCGTAAAGCTGATGGATTATTGAGTGTCATAAAGCTTGCTTGGTGGCCAAAGGTTTTAATCAAGTAGTTGGTGAGGATTTTTTTCGACACGTTTAGCCAAGTCGTTAAGCCTACCACGGTGAGGTTGTTGCTATATCTTGCCTTGTCGCATGGCTGGTTTTTGCTGCAGTTGGATGTACATAATGCTTTTTTGAGTGGTAGACTGCAGAAATTGTGTACATGTGGCAACCCCTTGGTTACTCTGATCCAGTTTATCCTAATCATGTTTGTTTGATGTAGCGCTCTCTTTACTGTTTGAAGCAAGTTCCTCGTTCTTGGTTTAGGCGTCTGCATGATTTTCTTATTTCTGTTGGTTTTCAATCTTCTAAGACTGATGTTTCCCTATTATATTATTCAAATGCTGGGTCGTCGCAGATTTTTCTGTTGGTATACATCGATGA